GAAGTGCCCAGGGGACCATGTGGGATACCGGGAATCAAACCCAGGTGGACCACATGCAAGGCAAGCCTTCAGCTCTACTACGTCCCTGCCACAAGGGCCCTTTCCTTAGTCTCCTGGGCTCTTCCGGAAGTTCTATCTTTGCAACAGTGAGTGTTCCAACTTAATCAGGATCAGGATTCAAGGCTGTTAACGTGCCCCTTGTTACCGGTCTCACATAACCTGGTCCCCAAACAAACAAAAAATAAAAACGCACACTGGCCTCCACTCCTACGACCCTGCCCTCTCTAAGGTCACACATGACTCTCTCCAGTCAGCCCCAGGGCCTTTGCACATACTATTCCTCTCCCTGAGCCCACCCTTCCCAGTGCAGGGCTCATTTCCTTATTTGTATGTATTTTGGCATATTATGTATGACCATCCAAGGAAGACCTCGGCAGAGTAAAGAGTGTTGAACATGTTACAAGAAGAGAGACCCTGAGGGCTAAAGAGAGTATGGGCACTCGCCCCTCATGCAGCAGACATGGTTTAAATTCCGGCACGCCCCCTTGGTTCCCCCCGAGCACCACCAGAACTGATTCCTGAGTTGAAGAGCCAAGAGTAAGCCCTTGAGCATAGCTGGGTGTGGCCCCCCAAAACAAATTTTAAAATAGAAAAGAAAAAGAGACCAAGGGGGCAGAGAGAAGTACAGCAGGTAAGGCCTTGCACGTGCAGACCCGGGTTCAAATCCTGGTACCTCACATGGTTTCCCAAGCACCATCAGGAGCCAGTAAGCCCCGAACACCACTGGTGGTGCCCGCCCCCCCGCCCCAGCTAAAACACAAATAAATAAAGAGACCAGGGTCTGAGGGGTCTGTGGCCCTGGTCTTTCTCCGGGTGGCCCGAGGGGGAGCTGGCACTTCCGGTGTGACCCTGGCAGCACCTCTGCAGGGGGCAGCTCCCCGGCCTGGCAGGAAGGCAGGGACGAGCATGGGGACACCTGCTCTGGCAAGTGGCAAGGGGGTGAGGAGACGTTCTCTCCCCACCCCCCGCCCCACCCGGGCCAGGGTCCGGGCCAGAGCGACAGAGCAGCAGGCAGGGCGCCCCTCTGGGCATGGGTCCTTTCCTCTAGACCCCCATGTCCTGACTCCAGCAGCGAGGGCCCTGGAAGGCATGCTCCCTGCGTGGTCCCCCCACCCCTCACCCCATGCTCTCCAGCTGCTAAAGGCTCTCGGCCCCACCCAGACCCTAGCCCAGGCTCCAGGGATGCTGGGCTGGGCTCGCCCTGTTCCTTCAGGGCCCCTACCCCCCCCCGCCCTGAGTGAGGACCCCCGGCCACTACAGAGCCCTGTGCAGCAGGAACAGGCCAGGACTTGGGCGCCCCAGGACTTCTTACTCGAAGGCATCAGGCATCAGGCCTGTGGCCGCCCGCCCGCCCCGTCCTCTCTGATCCTCCGCCTGGCGCCCACACCAGCCCCAGCGCCAGGGCGGGCGTCTGCCTGGGCAGAAAGTATTCATCGGAGCAGGAAGCTGGGGTGAACCCCCCTTTCCGTCTCCACCCTCTTTCTTTGATCCTCCCACGAATGCCGGAGTCTGAACGACCAAAGCTGAAACGTTCAGAGGTAATTATTTTAATTCAGCCAGATGCCGGGAATTGAAGTCTCTTTTCCTTGCAAGGATTCTAGAAAAGACACCACTCAGCCCGAGATGCCTCCGAAGAAAGGAGCTGACAGTCTCTGGAGGGAGGGGGGGGACCCCACCCCCAGCCTCCAGCCTCGGAACCGCAGGAGGAGGAGGGGCGTGACGGTATTAAAAGCAGAGTCTGGTTTGCCCATCTCGGAAAAGCACTTTCACTTACAGGACCTTATTTAATTACAAACTCGGGAGGAAGGCTCAGCGGGCCTGACCTAGAGTCGGAATTCAGGTTTCTGGACATTCCTGTTCCAGCTTCCCAGGAGCCCCGGGCAGCCAACCCCTCCGACACAGCTGCACCCCGTGTCTCCCCCCACCCCCACACACACCTCAGCACAGTGCAATCAGCCCCAAAAGACAGGCAGGAAAACTGAGGCCAGGACGCAGGAACCTAAGATTGATTTCACATGTTCTTTGGTGTGTGTGCCTGGGGCAGGGGTTGGGGCCACACCCAGTGGTCACTCCTGGTGGTGTCCCAGTGACCAAACCCCAGAGTTGACTGCTTGCAAGGCAAACACTAATTCCGTACTATGTCTTTCTCCCTCCCAACCTCCTTCCTTTCTCCCTTCTCCCCTTTCCTTCCATTCCTTTTCCTCTCTCCCTCTCTCCCTCCCTTCTTTCCTTTTTTTTTTTTTGGTTTCTTTTGGGACTGGGGTTGGAGCATAGCACAGCGGGTAGGGTAGGGTGTTTGCCTTGCATGGCCGACCTGGCCAACCCAGGTTTGATTCCTCCGCTCCTCTGAGAGAGCCCGGGGCCAACTACCGAGAGTATCTCACCCATACAGCAAAGCCTGGCAAGCCACCCATGACATATTTGATATGCCAAACACAGTAACGAGCGTCACAATGGAGACGTTACTGGGCCCACTCGAGCAAATCGATGAACAACGGGAGGACAGTTGTTCCCCGCGGGCAGACCCTGCAGGGGAACGCAGCCAGCCCTGGCTCTCACCCCTGCATGGGCCAGCCAGGCCCAGGCTCAGGCGAGGACTCTGTGCGCCCGCGCTGGGCTGACACTCATGGTGGACTGGACCTTCGATCCTGTTGTGCCCGTGGAGAGCTGATGGACATCCCTCAGCTGCCCTGCCTCCCAGCCCCCACTCTTTTGGGAGGGGTCACACCCAGTGATGCTCAGAGGTTATTCCTGGTGGTGCTCAGGGGACTGGAAGGGGTATGAGGGATTGGACCCCCGGCTGGCCACCTGCAAGGCCAGCATCATGTGTGCTGTCTCTGCCCTGCTTCTTCTATTGACCAAAGCAGCTTGAGACACCAGAGTCCAGTGGCCAGAGACCTGAGCTCCAGAGCTGAGCCGTCTGGATCCAAATCTCCCCCATCGGCATCGTCACTTGGCCAAGTTACTTAAGACTCTGTGACTTTTTTTTTTTTTTGGCGACATCTGGTGATGTTCAGGAATTAACTCCTGGTGGGGGGGACTATATGGCATGCCAGGGATCAAGCCCAGTTCAGCCACGTGCAAGACAAACATCCTGCCCACTGTACTATCGCTCAAGGCCTACTTAAGCCTCTGTAGAGGAGACCCACAATACACTAAGTATTATAACTGCCATATGCATGATCCAGCGCAGATGATGTAAATAAATCCATGCGTGTCAGCCTCGTGTGTGGCTCTGAATAATGGCTCAAGTAATATGACCTCTCACAGTTACAGCCTCATACGGTAGCTCTGCCCAGGTAGCTCTGCCCAGTACGGCCCAGGAGCCCCAGTGGGAGGTAGGGATTTGGGGATGGGGGCATGAGGCCATAGCTATTTTCCTAGCAATGCCAACGGAGAGGTGGGATTTCCAGAGGTCATCACCACTGAGCTCAGACAGACCGACTGCAGCAGCACATATGAGAACTCGGCTCTTCCCATCCGTCAGATACCAAAGAGATTTACGAAGGTGGAAAACAAGGCCACTCTTTTCACTACATGTGATTTGTTTTTGTATTTTTTGGTTCGGGAAATAGAATTATTTTTCAAAAATGATGTTGACATTAACATGTGGCAGCTTAACTATTGTTATTTTTAAATGAATTAAATCAAAATTAGCATTTTTCTCAGTTATTCAGACTGAGAAATGTGGTAAATGGTGAGAGATGACGGGAACAATATTTGTGCTGACTCCCCAGGAGAGAAAAATCGGTTTCTGCCCCTTTGTCCCTGTCCTGAGCTTACCCCTGCCAGGGCCCGCCTTGTGCCCCCTCTGCTGGCATCCCCCCCCCAAGAGTTCCCACCTCACCTTCTCAGCAGCGCCATGAGCCTGGACTTCAGGATCAGGCCGGCCTGATTCTACCACTCCACACTGGTACTTGGAATAGACGCTTGGCCTTTCTGGGCCTCGTTTTCCTTATCCATAAAATGGGTATATAAATTTTAGCTTAGGATTGTTGTCAGGACCAGTGCTAATTTGTATCAGATGCCCAACATTTGAGTAAATTATATTTTAGGGTGCAGCTCTTGGGTGTCCAGAGTTTGCTGTGTGCTCCGCCATCCCCACCCATCTCCAGGCCCACAAAAGAAGCAAAGCCCATGGCCACCTGGGACTGCAGACGTGAGCACATACACACACTCACGCACACACGCTTAGCACACCCAGCACACACAGCCACTCACATGTACACACTTACACACTCAAACACATGCGCGCGCGCACACACACACACACACAAACACACACACACACACACACACACACTCCCTCCCACCCTCAACCCTGTCAGCTGACTCCAGACTGAAAATAAAAAATGACAACTAGGGCTGGAGCGATAGCACAGCGGGTAGGGCGTTTGCCTTGCACGCAGCTGACACGGCCGACCCGAGTTCGATTCCTCCGCCCCTCTCGGAGAGCCCGGCAAGCTACCGAGAGTATCTCGCCCACACAGCAGAGCCTGGCAAGCTACCCATGACGTACTCGATATGCCAAACACAGTAACAAGTCTCACAATGTTACTGGCCCGCTCGAGCAAATCGATGAACAACGGGAGGGCAGTGACAGCAACAACTAGATGCCAAGCATCCAGGGTCCTTCGCTGGAAGGTATCCGCCAGGGGTGCCAAAGCTGTCTTGGCACTCACACACACACACACACACACACACACACAAATCCACATGCACATGCACACACATGCACGCACACACGCACACAAGCCTGTGCAGTGACCATGATCGTGGGAGGAGCACGGGGACCTGGAGGAGTGGCCCACGCTGCAGGCTCTGCGTCCCTTCCCAGACACTCAGCCTCTGTCTGCCCCGCTGTGAGGAGGGTCGGGCTCGGAGTCCCATGGTGACAGAACTCAGAGAGGGTCCCGGGGACCCCAGCCCCCAACACTCACCCTACAGTTGCTCAGCTCCTCCGCAGACAGGATGATGGTGCCACACTTCTTCCCTGGGACCCCGCTGGAGAGGAGAAGCAAGGATGGAGAGGCCGGCAGAGACCCGCCCGACGTGCGAGGGCCGCACACGCCCCATAGCGGCCCCCACAGTCCCCCCGCCCCCCCTGCCAACGCCTCTGCCCACCCGCTCCTCCCGGGAGCCCCGGCCGGGCCAGAGGGGCAGGGAGCAGCAAAGTCCTGCAGCCACAACAGCATCTAGACTCACCCAGAAGCTTCCAGACCAGTGGGTCCCAAACTTTCCGTCCAAAGACCACTTCTGTGGGTAAAAGACCTCGTGGGCTACCAGCCCACCTGCACCCGCCGAGCCCCGAGCCCCAGGGCCTTCAGCCCCGGTTCCCCTAGCGGGAGGAGGGAGTAGGGAAGGGAAGCGGGTCTGGCATCCTCTGGGCAGCTGCCCCAGGCTCTCCCACACCACCTCCCCCAGTGCCTGAAGAGAGAGCGAGCACCCAGGCAGCCCTATGCGTCTCGGGACGGGCTCAGGAGTTACCCCCACTAGAGCCCCCTTCATGGGCAAGGCTTCCACCCAAGGGGCCTGACGGACGGGAGGGTCCTGTTGAGGCCCCCGAAATGCCCGGTGGTCCAGCAGCTGCTTTGCTGCATCTCTTTGAACCTCAGTTTTCTTGCCCGTGAAATGGGCATGAATGTTTTCTCCATTTTACTAACCCACACAGGCGCAGTGCGGAGAAGCCCTCAGGAAGGACAGGGGCCCCTGGACAACTGCACACAGCCTGGCTGTGAGCTTCGGGTCAGCCGTGGGGTCACTCTGGAGAAACAGTGACGGAGCTCACCCAGGGACGGGTGCTCGGGCAGCCCCAGGTACGAGACCACCCCATCTCTCCAAAGCAGGTGAGCCGAGCAGAGGCCCATCTGGAGCGGCCCTGAGGCAGGCGCGCCAGCTTGTCTCCGAGACTGGGCATCTGTGCTGAGCACCCCAAAGCCCTCCTCCGCCGAGCGAAGCACTGGCTTGTCCGACAGAGACGCTGGCGGCGGCCTCCCGCCCGCCTGCCCATCTGTTCCTCCCGCACTCAGCCCCTCTGCAGTTTCCTTCTTCAGCGCGGCGGCGTCTCCAGCCCCAACCTGCTCCCACCTGTGCCCGCCTCCTCCCTGCCCTCCTCCCGCTCTCCCGTGTCAGCCCACAGCCTCTTCCCAGCCCCCAGTCCCGGGAGCCCACTGCGAAGGCCCAGGGCTCTGCTAGCTCCTCTGCTGGGGGGGGGGGGGCACCTCCCAAGGAGATGCTCTGGGCCACGCCCACCACAGGAGAGCAGAGCGGAGGGCTAGGGAGGGTCTGCATCGCCCGCCCACGTTTGCAGAAAGCAGGCGGCGGGGAGGGGGGAGCAAGGCTGGTGACCAGCCTGAGCAGGAGGGGAGAGGGGACAGAGAAGCGGCAGAGGGAGGCAGGGAGCAGAGCAGCGAAGAGGAGGGGGTGCCAAGCCCCAGCTCCCAGCTGGACGGGCGGGAATCTCTCTGGGTGGGGGAGGCCCCCTGCAGAGCCGGCCAGAGATCTCTCTCCGGTGACGTACCCGTTGGACACAGCTGGCATGGGTTTCCCAGTCCTGGAATTCAGGCTGAAGGCGCCTATCCTGCGGAGAGAGAAGCGACAGGGCCGCGTGTCCCCCAAGCACCACCACCAGGTGCGACTCCGACTAAGGAAGCTGCTATTGGCTGCCTGCAAGGCAAATGCAGGTAGGGGTGGGGGGTGGCTGGAGTCACGGTGGAGGCTTTCAGGCGGCAGACCCCAGGTCAGTCTGCTGAGGGCAGCAGTCCCCAGCACGAGCCACGTCACCGGGTCCCCCCAGGCCAAAATAAAATGCAATGACAGTTAAGACAGGGCCAGAAGAACACGGCAGGGCCTTAGCACGCATGCCTGGCCGCCATGTGGTCACGAGTTCAAACCCCAGGTGTCCTCCATGCGCCACGCCTGCCCGCTCGGCTGTCTGCCATTCTGCCGCTTCCAGCGCTGCAAGGAATTTCTGCCTGCACTGAAGCACACAGCACCAGGGTGGTGCTGGTGACTGGGCCTTGTGGGGTTCACACATGTGCTCACGTGGGCTGCCTGAGGGCCACAGAATTGCGGGTGAGTTTGGAGATGGAACTAGTTTTGTTTTGTTTGGGGGCAACACTCGGAGCTCAGGTGTCAGTGCTCAGGGCTTATACGTGGCTCTGCACTCTGAGATCATTCCTGGCTCTGTGCTCAGGGATCATATATGATGCCAGGGATCAAACCTGGGTCAGCCACGTGCAAGGCAAATGCCCTACCCACTGTACTATCTCTCCAGACCCTGAAGATAAAACCTCTGTTTGTTCTTTGGCTTGAGGGCCACCCCCTGCAGGACTTAGGACTTACTCCTGGCTCTGTGCTCAGGGCTGACTCCCGGCTCTGTGCTCAGGGCTCACTCCCAGCTCTGTGCTCAAGGATCACTCTCAGCTCTGTGCTGAGGGCTCACTCCTGGCTCTGTGCTCGGGGCTCACTCCCGGCTCTGGGCTCAGGGCTCACTCCTGGCTCTGGGCTTGGGGCTCACTCCTGGCTCTGTGCTCAGGGATCACTCCCGGCTCTGTGCTCAGGGATCACTCCCGGCTCTGTGCTCAGGGATCACTCCTGGCTCTGTGCTCAGGGATCACTCCTGGTAATGCTTAAGAGACCAAATGCGTTGCGGGGAGCTCTCTCTGGCCCAGAAATTAGAAACTTACCAATGAGAAAAGTACAAAGCCAATAAAAGGCGCATCGCCAGCCCAGTCGAGGGGGTCAGGCATTTGCCTTGCAGGCAGCTAATAGCAGCTCCGTCACAGACACCGTCAGGTGCCCTCCAAACCCAAAACAAAGACTCATCAACAAGCACACAAACTTCTTGGCTTCGATATACTTTGTTTCTTATTTGGAAATGTCTAACTAGAAATCATAACTAAACAATATCAAGAGAAGAAGGGTGCCACACTGGGCAAGCACCCAGCTAACACACGGCTGGACATGTGTGAACTCCACAGGCCCCCATGGGCACCAATGGTGACCATGTCCGGGGCTGACCAGGGCCCCGGTGAGTGCCCCGGTCTGCCGTGTCTGAAGCCTGCCCTGAAGCACCCAGCCAGTGTGCCCGGTCTCAGCCACACAGCAAAGGAAGGGGAGAGATTAAAATTGGAATTGAACAAAACACAAACACTGTCCTCCCGTGGTTCATCAATTTTGCTCAGGCGGGCCCAGTAACGTCTCCATTATGACACTTGTAACTGTGTCTGGCATATCGAATACATCACGGGTAGCTTGCCAGGCTCTGCCGTGCGGGCGAGATACTCTCGGTAGCTTGCCGGGCTCTCCGAGAGGGGTGGAGGAATCGAACCCGGCTCGGCCAGGCTGGCTGCGCGCAAGGCAAACGCCCTACTGCTGTGCTATGGCTCCAGCCCAAAACCAGAATTAAAAAGGTAAATAATCCTAATTACAATTTAATTGATCGAATGTTTCTGTTTTGCTTTGGGGTGACATCCAGGCTGCCCAAGGGTCACTTCCGGCAGTGTTCGGGGACCCTGTGTGCTGGTGCGCCTGGAATCCAGTCTAACGAGCCTTTGGAATATTGCCCTGGACTCCAATAAAATCTTTTATTGGGCTTTGCAAAACAAATAAAACAACAAAAAACTTCAGATTTTTCCTAAACCCTCTTGCAAAGAAGCATCGGCAGCCTCTGCGTAGGGGCTGTTCCACGCTGCATGAACTGATGTGAGATCCAGTCAGTTCCAGGCCCCTTTTCAGCTGGTTGGGTGAGAAATCCCCAGTCCTGGGGCCACAGCAGTAACACCGTGGACAGGGCATTTGTCCTACACATGTCTGCTCCAGCTTTGCCCCCCAGCATCCCAAAAGGTCCCCTGAGCCTGCCAGGAGTGATCCCTGAGTGTAGAGCCAGAAGTGACCCCTGAGCATCGCTGGGTGTGGCCCCAAAACTAACACACCGGAAAAAAAGAAAGAAAGAAATTTCGAATTCAGCAGTCTGGTTGGTTGGACGTGCTCTTCGGGTACCACGGAGACTGCTACAGCTCAAGAAGTCGCCTGCTGTCGTCTGAGAAGCCCTGTGCTACCTCGGGGTGGGGGTGAGGCTGCTGGACCCAGAAGCAAGGGACAGCTGAGAACAGATATCCAGGGAGAGGCGGAGCCTGGCCCCGAGAGCACCCCTCACCGGCACCCCAAGGCCGCTGGATGGAGCTCAGACACTGGGGGCAGTGGGCTGGGAGCTGACACCGGTCAGGGAGCTGAGAAGGTCCGACAGTCACCAGCCAACAAGCAACAGCCTTGCTCACTCGACAGATTCCAACGCTTCGAGCGCAGGTGGAGTGATGGGGGCCAGGGGGGACCAAATATTAATGCAATACTTTCGTTTTTAAAAAAAATTGGGGGCAGGGGCTGGAGTCATAGCACAGCGGGTTGGGCTTTTGCCTTGCATGTGGCCGACCCGGGTTCGATTCCCAGCACTCCATATGGTCCCCTGAGCACCACCAGCGGGGATTCCTGAATGCAGAGCCAGGAGTAACCCCTGTGCATCACAAAGTGTGACCCAAAAAGCAAAAAAAAAAAAAATTGGGGGTCCACAGTTGGTGGTGCTCAGGGCTTACTCTGCGCTCGGAGGTCACCCCAGCAGTGCTTGGGGGATCATATGGGATGCAGGCGGTTGAACCCGGGTCGGCCGCGTCCTGTGCTGTTGCTCCAGCCCCACAAGTGCAATACTGAAACATGATTAATGCTTCAACAGGCCAAAGAGGCCTGTGTTCCTGAGCCCAGGAACACAAAATCACTAAGGAAAATGGTCATCAACATGCCCGAGCACTAGCAAAGCCACATGTGAGATTATCTTTACTGGAGCGACCTCCGGCAGGGGGAGTGAGGGTCCAATAATCCTGAGGTCAGTCTCCTGGCTGGCAGGGCCAGGGGTGTGTCCCACTGCTTGAACGCGATTGGTTTGGGGGGACGGGGTGAGGTGTAGGGCTGGGGGTGGCTTCTGGATCTCCCTCCCCCAGCCTGGGCTGGCCCCTGCACCTCAGCCCTACCCTCCAAACTCAACCCCACGGCCTCTCCCTGGCTGCCCCTCACCCGGCAATGCTCAGGGGACCATATCGGATGCTGGGAATCGAACCCGGGTTGGCCGTGTGCAAGGCAAACGCCCTACCTGCTGTGCGAACGCTCCAGCCCCAATATGCTCTTATTCTTAAGGGGCAAGGAAACCTTTCCGAAACCTCCCTCCCATGCAGACCCTGGGGCTCACGTGCAAACACCAGGACACCTGGTTTCGGCCACCGGCAGGGGACCACATCCTGGGGCAACGTGGCAGAGGCAAGTGTGGAGGGTGATGTCGGGGTCACTTGTTCTGTCTGGTCCCAAAGCCACCGCTGGGGCTCCTATGGGATGAGGTTGGACGCCCACCGGCCTCCATGCGTGGCATGGCACGCAGAGGCCGGGGCTTGGGTTTACAGGATTCTGGTGTATCAGCCTCATGCCCAGCTCTCGCACTTCCTTTGTCTGTTTGTTTTGGGGGGTCACACCCCGCGGTGCTCAGGGCTTACTCTTGGCTCTGTGCTCTGTGCTCACTCCTGGTGCTCCTGAGGGGTCAAACTCAGGCTGGCTGTGGGAGAGGCCAGCCCCGCGTCCGAGCCTGCTCCACCCCTGCGCCCTCCCCAGACAGCTCGCCCCACCCCACTTACGTGAGGGGCTTCTCCAGACGGCTCCCCGAGGACCCCACGATCTCTCCGAGAGTGCAGAAGGCCTGGCCCAGGAAGTCCTGTGGGGGGGGGCGGGGGGGGTCACTGCTTCTTCACTGCTGCAGTCCCCCCCCCCCCCCGCCCTTCTGCACTCCCTCCCAGCCCCCACGTCGGGGCACTCACGTGTTTGGATAAATCCGGGCTCTTGGAGTCCACGTCGTACCTGCAGCCACAGAGACAGAGAAGTCCACTGCGCCTTGGGTCCTGCCACTGAGTCCAGTGGGCCTCTGCTCCCTCAGGCCAGGCTCTGACCATGCAGGGCAGCACGACACACCCCTGGGAGGGATCAAGGAGACACCCAGGGAGCCCTGGGCGGGGGCACTCGGCAGGCTCAGGGGTCTGGTCCAGGAGGATGCCCCGACCTGCGGGACTAGTCAACGTGGATAACCGGGAGAGGGTGCGCGAGTGGTAAAAAGAGCGACAGAAGAGTGGGAGCAAGACAAGACTCGGATCCAGCTCCAAATTCAGTTCTCCCAAGCCAGCCTTTTATAATTGATTACACGAGGAAGTGGGCAAAATGGGGAATTCAACAAAGCTTGCAGAGTTTCAATAAATCAGGGTGCGAGCCCTCACGGCGGGCTCATGGCAGTAGCTCAGAAACTTACACAACGTATTTTCACTTTTTTCCAAGAAGAAATTTGTCCCTAAATTGCATGTCAAGCTCTACTGACCTTTTGACTCTCGGCAGGGGGAGGTGGGAGGTGGGGGAAAGACAGATAGACAGACAGACAGACAGACAGTCTGGCCGACAAGCCCGCTCTGGGACTGTGCCTCTGATCTAACCTGCTTCAGCGGACCCTGAGCCTCGTTTCGGGGAGGGGAGACCATCCCCTGGTCACTCAGCGCAGGCTGGGACTGGCCCGGCCCTCACCCACCTGGAGCCTCCTTCCTGCACCTCAACACAACCCCCTCTCGTCCCCACTTCACACATGCCCCCCACCCCCCACGTGCCGCCCAACCCCCCTCTCATACCCTCACACATCCCTCCAGGTTTCTCCATCCCCCAACCCCCCACCCAGTCCCCACTCCCGGTACATCCCCGCCGTCGCCCACACCCCCTTCATCCCTCGCCTAGCCCCTACCCCACCCCAGCCAGGCCCACACTGAAAGTCACGTCCTGTCCACTGCCCCCTAAGGAGGCTTCCCGGGGGTCTCCGCGGCCCCCACCCTGGTCTTCCCTTTGTTCCCAGACTCCAGAACCCCCTTCCCCAGCCCCGCTGTCATTAAAGCCCACAGTTCCCGGGTGCTGCCTCGTCCTGCCGCCGTCTTTCCTCGTACAGAGGCCCAGCAGAGGGACCCCCACAGACTGAAGCCCCCCTCCCAAGAACCAGCTTTGTCAGGCAGACGTCAGTGGGGCCCCCCGGAGACCTGTTCTCCAGGACCTGGGCTGTTTCTGCATGTGGTCTCGGGGATGTTTCAGGCTGGGGGTGCGCTGGGCTCTGCTCCCAGCTCCCCTGAGATGGGGGGCTGGCCTCGAGATCCCCCCGCAGTGAGCTTCCCCTAACCCCTGCTCCCACCAGGTGCCCCTAACACCCCCCCAGCCCCTCCTCAGGACCACCTGCCACTTACAGGTCAAAACGGAGGTTCTGCTTCTCCTCGAAGAAGTAATCCACGATGAACTTGCGCACAAAGTCCGGGTTAAGGGTGTTATCGATGACCTCAGTGCGGCCAAACTGGAGAGGAAATGAGGTGTGAACCCTGGGCCAGGCTGGGGGTCCCGAGCCACCCCCTCGGTCCCGGTTGGTAGGGATGGAAGCCACCTGGGGCCCGGCCCGCGCCTCCTGCGAAGAGCTGGCCGGCCATCCGACACTGCCTGTCCACTCCCGCTCCCTGCCCCGCCACAGTGGGAGCATCGGGTTGGTCCCGGTGACCTGAGTGGGCCCGCGCGTCACAAAGCCAAGCTGGCCCGGCTAGGCCGTGTCCTGCTGGTCCCCTCCCTTCCTGACTCCTCCGCTGCGGAGCTTGGCCTACTCACACCCGAACTCACTCCTCACCCCACAACTGCTCAGCTTCTGGGGCTGATGCTGCACTTGGGGGCGTTTTACTTTGACACCCCAAGAAGAGCAAGGGCCAGAGAGGGCTCAGTGGACTGAGCACATGCTTCCCAGGGGGAGGCCCACAGCACCCCCCCCGCAGCAGTGCCAGGAGAGGTTGGCACAGAGACCCCCGAGCACCGTCGGCTGTGACTCAGCGAGCCAGGACAGCAGTGGGGGCCGCATGCCTTGCTCAGAGCCACCCTGATTCCATCCCCGGCACCATATATGTCCCCAAGCACTGCCAGCAGGGAGCCCTGAGCACCGTGTGTGTAGCTGCAAATAAATGCAAATAAATGCACTGGGATGGAGCCAGAATAGGGGAGCTGGAGCGATAGCACAGCTGGAAGGGCGTTTGCCTTGCACGCGGCAGACCCTGGCAGACCCGGGTTCGATTCCCAGCATCCCATAGGGTCCCCTGAGCATCGCCAGGAATAGCTCCTGAGTGCAGAGCCAGGAGGAACCCCTGTGCATCGCCGGTGTGACTCAAAACAGCAGGGCAGCTGACTTGGGTTTGAGCCCCAGCACCCCATATGCTGTGACAAGAGTGACCCCCGAACAGAGCCAAAAATAAGCCCTGAGCACCTTTGGGTGTGGCCCAAAAACAGGGGGCAGAGCAACAGTACAGTAGGTCAACTGTCTGCCTTAATCCCAGGTATCTCACCAGTATCTCATATGACCCCTGAGCACTGCCAGGAGCCAGCCCTGAGCATCGCCGGGTGTGACCCAACACAGTCAGATAAATGCAGGTGCGGGGGGAGGGGGGACTCTGGTCCCTGCACATCCCCCCTCCTGGAAATCAGCAAGCACCGCCACCCCTCGCAAGGCAGTGCTCCCTCGGGTACCCCCTCACCCATTTTCCGTTGATTTTTATTTGAGGGCCAGGTACTCTAGGACTCCTCTTAGTGCTGTGCTCAGCAGCACTCCTGGGGGCTCTCAGGGATGGAACCCGGGTCAGCGTGTGCCAGGCAAGCGCCGAACCCGCTGTATCATGCCTCTGTGGAGATGGTACTTGGGGGCTGTTCCTGGCTCAGTGCTTGGGTGGGGGGGGTGTATTCAGTGTCAGGGATCAAACCCGGGGCTCCCACTTACAAGGCGCGCCCTGTAGCCCTTGGAGTTACGATCCTGCCTGGCCCAACATACAACTGGATGGGAGGTTATTTTTTTTATTTTGTTTTTTGGGGGTCACACCCAGCATTGCACAGGGGTTCCTCCTGGCTCATGCACTCAGGAATTACCCAGGTCAGCTGCGTGCAAGGCAAATGCTCCCCAGTGCTGGGTCGGGTTGGGTTGTTGTTGTTATTCTGGGCCCTACCTGGAGGTGTTCAGAGCTTACTTCTGGCTCTGCACTCAGGAGTTACTCCTGGCGGCGCTCAGGGGACCATATGGGATGCTGGGAATCGAACCCGGGTCGGCCGCGTGCAAGGTAAACGCCCTCTCCGCTGTGCTATCTCTCCAGCCCCTGTCCAGTCCCTCCGGCAGAGCTTGGAAGCATCTACGCAGGCCAGGCCACATGCAGATACTGAGATACCAGCTTAAATGGAATGCAGAGTCTGGGGCTGGACAGGATAGTCAGGACGGACACAAGACCAAGTGGGTGGAGCGGCACGTGTCCAGCTGCCTGCAAGGTGTGGAGGAGAGTTCGGGCAGTGAAACACGCCCGCTTGTCCAGCCCAGCGGCCTGACCGCCCTGAGCGGGGCCAGCGGACAGCTGGGCCATGTGGAAAGCCTGGAGGAACAGAGATGATTCCGTCGCTGGAAACGCATGGGACCTTGCTCGGCGGAATGCAGTCGGTTATTTGATCACGACCCTGACACAGTAACTGCTTTGGATTCCACTTGTCGATTCGTCTTGGCGTTGCTGACTGCCTGCGTGTGCACATGAGATCGGAATTCTTTGAACCAATCAATCTCACAGGTTTTCCCGTGTGACAGGTTAAATACATCCTCCACGACTGTTTGTTTTCTATGCTTAGGAGAGTCTGTCATAATTTTACCCTTGGGGGGAAAGAAGTTTTGTTTGGGGCCTGGGCCACAGTGTAGAGACCAGCAGGAGTGATCTCCGAGTACAGAGCCAGGAGTGAGCCCTGAGCATCGCCAGGTGTGACCCCGAAACAAAACAGAAAGCACCTGCCTGGCC